TAAAGTTACATTTTATGATACTGTATATATATATATATATATATATATATGTGTGTGTGTGTGAACAGATGGCGTGGACGTCAACGATATTTAGCGGCAGACTTGATAGGGTTGATATTAGGTATAGATGTTTGTCGCTATTTTGTGTTAGACTTAGAAGAGTAGTAACTAATACTACCCAGTGCAAGTATATAGTTTTATACATCAATAGTATTACTGACTAAATAATTCTTGGACTTATAGTTTTAAATTGACACTTACAGAGCATGTAAAGGTCATGAAAATTAAGTTTTCGTATATATTATGTTAGTTAAGTTTTCCTTTTTGTTGTTATTTAATTTTATTTTTGAATTCAAATTGTGACGTTTGTAACTTCTATTGTAAACAGTAAAGTGCAAGTTAAACTAAGTAAAGCTGGAACCATAATTTCTGACTTAGTTAAGTTAGTATAGAAACTACAAATACTCAGAGCAGAGTCTGGCCACGGATGCTACATTACTTAGTTCAATAAGTTAGCTTTCTAGTAATACTACTACTAGTAGTATGATCACTGTAAATTGAAATTACTTGTATTGTTACAGTTATACTCAGTGTTATACTTATAATGTAATTCTAGCCATTAGGTGTGTAGTACTAGATAGACTAACTTAAAATCATATTCGGGACTTATTGGCTATGTGTATTGGTACTGTGGTGAAAGGTGAGACAGTGTGAAGAAGAAGCATGAAAATAGTAACGTTTCACACATTATTAATTAATAGTATTAGCTTTTAAAGTTTCAGTTTTACTAGTTTTAATATCTAATCCAATGTTGCTGATTTTATATCAAAGTATTTTAAGTAGCAGATGTGACCTATTTTAAAAATTGAAATATTACTGCCAGACTTGTGTCTTAGTTCAATGAAACACTGAAATTTGAAAAATAACGATTTTTCGTGAATAGTTACATTTTAATTTATTCCAGAATTACCATTTAGCATCCTTCTATTTGTATTCTTTTTCAATGATTTATTTTAAGTACAGGCTTAACTAAAGATGTAAACAAATGAAATAATTAGTACTACTAGTTGTAGTATATTACCCCATTTCATCTCGTAATCAGTACATGTGTATATCCAGAAATTCTACTAACAATATAGTACTGCCTCAGTGGCTTGAGTAAATATCTACCACTATACTAAAATCTTTCCTTCAATTGAAGAATTGAGTTGCTTCTCATTTATATTAAACATGAGATCCAAATCATTATAAACTTTTCAAAGTTTAGTCTTCTCATTGTCATGAACAAAAACTGCTGTTAACATACTTTAAGAACTCAATCCCTATCTGAATGCTGTGCTTACCTTTAACATGTTAAAAAAAAAACCTTGATATTATATTTAAAATCACTAGCCAGTTGTTTCTAATAAAGCCCTTTTCATTTTTCAACTAAAACACGTGTTTGTCCAATTCTATAAATTTTATAAAGTCCCAATGACTAAACGTGGGTATTTATATGTGATTTTTTTTTTTCCTTTGTGTCCTTAGTCGGCTAGTTAGTTCCGATTTTCCAAGTTTTTCATTTCTTCATTTAAGAACAATCCAATCTTGAATTCACCATCATTTATTTTTAAACATCTTCCAGATTTGTCCCATAACAACTTAAGTCATCCCACTTCACTTATAGTGAATCTTATCTCATGGTCTTAAAATTGATTTATTGAAATATTCAGTATCATCAGCACAGTAGGAAATATTACTGCCCAAAAACCTATCGAAATCATTAACATACAAAATAATGATCCCCAAAAGGACCCCACATTCCCCAACCATAAAAATACCCATTTATATATATTTTATAAATACCCAAAGTTAATTTACTGTTTGTTTCATAACTTTTCAACCAATTCCATAAGCATTTAAGTTAAAATTAACTTATTAATGTTTTATCACACATTTTATCAAAAGCTTTTTAAAGTCAAGATATATATATATTACTAAGAGGATAGTCTCCTCACAAAGGACTTTATATCATTTGGTTGCTTGTTTGATGATTCATATGTGGCCTCAATTAAATGGCCTTTTGATCTTTTTTTTTTTTTGCATATAAGCTTTTTTACTGTTAATTGTATCCATATGAATTTATAGAAAAACCCTCACAAAATGGAAGGACAAAGCACATTTAACTCCACTGAAGTTTTCAAAAATCAAGAATATGAAACTCAGTTGTTTGGGTTCACTCCAAGATCTTTTGTTGATGGAAGTAAGTATTTATCATCTGTTTTAATGAAAGCTGCATTTTATACAGTATTAATCATTAATTAAACAGTCATGAGAAGAAAACAAATATTTGATAGTTTTGTGGAATTACTTTTAGGAAAATTATGAATTTATTTTGTGGTTAACATTAATTTATTGGAAAAGCAAACTGTTTTTCTGGATACCTGGCCACGTCGGTATTCACGAGCTCGCTGACACTGCAGCTAAGTCCGTCTGCTCTGGTGTTGTAATGGCCATGCCTGTCCCGTACATGGACTACGGTCCTGTCTTCAAGGTGAGGCATCGTGCCAGTTGGCAGTCGACTTGGGGTGAGCAACATCATAACCAGCTTTTCCAGATTAAACCTTCTGTTGGTCTTTGGCTATCTTGCTTCCGTAAGGATCGGAAGGAGAAAGTTGTCCTGGCAAGGCTATACATTGGTCCCAGTTTTTAACCCATCATTTTTTTTATCTGGTATTGACCCACCAATGTGTAGCCATTGTGACACTCAAGTCACAATAGCCTCCATTTTACTGTCGTGTCGTCATTATGATCGTGAGCGGCGGCACCATTTTAGACATGTGTTTTCTAAAAGTTTACCCCTGATGTTGGGCAGTGTCATTGGTAATGGTGACACCATCCGACTAGATTGTATTTTTAATTTTTTACACACTATAGGTCTTTTTAATTGTATATAAATCTTTTATTAACATATTTTGGTTTTAACTTGCTGTATTTTTACATTTTACTCTAATTTACTTTCACTTTTTTTACCGATTGTTTGGCGCAGATAGCCTCGTTGCTTTGCGCCATAAAGCACCAAACAAACAAACACTTCCTTATGTTTTCAATTGTATTATGTGGGCCTTTGCTCAACACCTTCATGGTCTAGGTCTAAGATTATATTTCTATGTGGCTAACTAGCTTCTTCTCACCTATTACAAGGCTAAATTCTCTGAATCTACTTCTGTTCTTCATAAAGCTGCTTTTTATGGGTGGCTCATCAAGATTTCCATGTTCTTCCTTACTCCAACCCAAAATCTTATCCACCTTGGGATTCTCTTCATCTCTCGCCTTAGCTGTTCCCAACCTTCTCCAGTTTGTTTATAGGATCTTGTTGCTCTTTTCACCCAACTTTGCTCCTCGCCTTCATATGTGGTGCTAGTTGTTCTTTCTCTTCTGGGGACCATGGAATCTGTGGAACATTTCACTTTGTTGTGCACATATGAATCCCCTACAGTGGGTGTTGCATAACCAATAAAACTTTTCAGGGATTTCCTCTCCTCACAATCTCCTCCTCCTTATCTACTGGAAGATCTTACTTGGTGGCTAGATCAACACCACCTGTGGTGTTCCCTTATCTCATCCCAAACTACACCTTCACCTCCTCACTGACACTTCTTTTTCTGAATGGGGAGCATTTACTACATGACAATGTTCTTGAGCTGCTTGCTGTCCATTGGGCATGCTCTCATTTTCTAACCCTTCTTGTGGATCTTTTGGTAATGAACCATTCAGACAACTCCATGGTCATGTCTGATATCAATTGCTAAAAGGACAGCCATTCAAGGACCCTCTGCTTTCAGATTTTGGACTGCTCTCCAGTCAGATTGGTTTAATAACCTGTCATATTCCAGGTGCACTTAACATTGTTGTGGACTGTCTTCATTTCATTTCAAATATTCCATTAGGTTTGTTCCCAACTCGAGACTTTCTTCATAGGTGCCTTTTCCACACCCCTCAATACAAAATATTCTCACTTCTGGTCTTATATAGTTCACTCATCAGCCCTAGCTGTTGATACCCCCAGTTAGGACTGGTCCCATCTCTTACTCTCTGCCACCTTCCTTGAGTCCTTGTTCTGATTTGGGACACTCCTTGTAGAGTCCTGTTGGTAGCCTCTTACTGACCTGCCCAACATTTGTTTTTGTTACTCTGTCTTCTCCCAACCAAGCACCATTTGTCATCCTAACATTTCATTTATTCTGGTTCAACTACACATGTCGCTCTTTCTTCAAGGAGTAACATCTGTTCATCCTCATATGTAAGACTTGTCCAGTCCATTGCTCATCATGCCAGATTGTTTGATCATATAGCTTTCTTTGTGTCCCACTTTTATTGCCCTTCCACCTCTTCAGTGTACTAACATAAATGGAGAGCTTATTGCAATTGGTTTATCCTTCAGCATTTTGCCCTGACCAACCTACTTTACAATACCTTACCTCCACCTTCATATGGCTCTTTGACTATGGTTTGTCTGTCTCTACCACTGTGAGTTATTGATTGGCACTATCTACCACATTCTGCCTTTCCAAACACGTCTTACCACTTGTTCCCTATATCATCTCTCTCAAAACCTTTGTTTTTCACGTTCTTGTCTTTGGTTACTGGCATTCTGATATCTATGCCATGGATTCTTCTCAAACTCTCTACCATTACACTTACCTTCTTCTTTACTCCAACTGGTCTTTCCTTCCCAAGACTTTCTCTGCTAAGGAAGATAGTGTAGACACACCTGTCTCCCATATCTCTTCCTTCTGTATCGCGTATCTATGATTGTTTGGACCCAGACAGACTTTTATATCTTGTATGGGCTGTTCATTGTTATCTGTCTTTCACTTCCTCATTTTGGGATTTCTATCATCTTTTCATTCCATGGGTCCACTTCTCTACTAAAGAACTTTCTCCTTCCACCCTTACCAGAGGGATATGCCAGTTCATCTGTCTGGTTTATCCTCTTTGGGGGTGAATGATCATCAGATCTTTTGTGTCACCTCTTGCCAGATTTGACACTTTATATATTCTCTTGCTGCCCATTTTCATTGTCCTCTAGTAGAGATTCTCTAGGTTGGCATGTGAACTACCCCACACATCTTTGTTAACCACTATCTCCACTACCTGGCTGTCCATCTTGGAGGGATATACACTTCTGCCCATGGCCATACTTCAACTTGAAACTTATTTTTCTTACTCACAACTGGTTTACTGTAAGATCCCACTGGGTGGCTAGTGTTGCCTACCAGGGTATACTTACCCCAAATCTTCATCAGGCCAGGATAATGGAAATCACTCATACCATTCTTCCAGGCTCGACACTTGCCCACCATGAGATGGGGTGTGCTTTAAGACCACTTGAGATATCTTTATGGAATTTCAATATATATCTATATTACATTTCATGTCTGTTCCAGTCCATACTCATTCCATGGACTATCATGTAAAAGCCATCACTGGAGTTGTGTATCTGCCCACTTCTCTGGCTAGTGCTTGCCAGCTTTTAAAAGATAGGGTTTTGCAGTCACCCATTACACTGTCTTCAGTAAAAGTACCTTCTGGACTGAAAGACTAATGTGGATCTGGGCACATTATTTGGGTCTCCCTTGTAGAAATTGACAGTCAAGTGGAGGTATATTTAATACAGTGTCCTCCTCCTGCAGCTGATATGAGGCCCAAAGAGAATGACAGTAGAGTTGGGGTGATCACACCAAATACACCCTACTCCTACAGCAGGCAAGGGGATCTTAGTGACTGATGATTGAGAAGAGGTTATATAAGTATCTATACTGACATGATTCCTTACAGTGCCCTTCTCCCACAACTGGCATGTGGCCTGTAGTGACTGACAGTATATGAAGTGAGCGAGGATGCTTATCATAAGGGTTCTTCTCCCACAGCTGGGTTTGACCTGTCTAGTCTGATGGTAGAGGAGATGAGCACACAAAGTACATTCGGAATGAGCCCCAACCTCACTACATATTAGCTGTTTGACAGCTTATGTGTGAGTACTCAGATGGTCATGTACTTACCCTGGATAACACAAGATGCAGTTCCCATGAGTGTGACCCTATCTATGTTGCCCCCACCACCCGGTGTCACACCTTATGGCTTCTTTCAGACACTTTCTGGAGGAACTTGTCAAGGTAATTTTTGTAACAGTCCTTCTACCATCTCACTGTTCTATATTTGTAGGTGAGTATTCATTTCAAGAGTTAACATTTTCTTTACCAGGAAAATGTATTTCTGACAGATATTCATCTCTTCACATTTTCCCACCTATCCTCCCCACTTTATCAGTGCACATTTCTTTATTGTTTTGTCAAATAATATGATTCATGAGTGCAAATGTAGAGGGTATCATTGTATATGGAGGTGTGCCACTCTCCTATTGGTGTGTGTGTGTGTTTGGAGTTCTACTTTATAATAATGACATCATGCAGTGGTGCAAGTTCATGTGGCTTCACATAGAATTAGGTGGGAGTTTTCACAGGACTGGTGGCTTACAAAGCTCTTTGGCAGATCATACAAACTCAAGAGTAAAATAAGCTATTATCTATGCAGAGTTGAGAATCTATTGGAAATATATTTTCAGGTAAGGAAAATGTTTTACTTTATTCACTGACAGATATGTTCCTTCGAGCACCCAGTAACTTCATGTTTTTCTCTAGACCTTTACATAATGACCATCTCTGTTTATCGTATCATAACAATGTTAATTATTTAGTCAGCTCTTTGGAAATAAATTTTTCTTCTTTTGAAATATTTGGTATAACTTGACTTTTGTTAATGGTCAACATAATCCTGTGATAATGAATGATATGAATAAAATCTGAAAACTTACAACATGTGTTTAAAAAAGATTTTAAATAGTCTATTTAACATACATAGATGCATAGTGTAAATTAGAATTATGCTATCCCAGTATTTTCAAATTTAATCCATGACAATATTTACGAGTCTCTATAACTTGTATAGAAGCAACCAACTTTTTTTTTTCTTGTTAGTGTGTAAACATTGCCCAGGATATTTAAAATATTTAGTTTTTATGATAGAGATGATCACATTCTAGTATTTCCAAATTATTAATTATTTCATTATACTGCTTATTTATAAGAGATAATTCATGTAACTTGTGTTTGCATAAATTGACCACTGATGTATCTTAATCTTTTGTTGTTTTAGTACAAATCTTTTATTTTTTCTGCTAGTGTATAATGCAGTTTATGATTACCTTCATGACTCTTTGAACACATTGCAACTTTACTTGTGTCAACAGGTTAGTACAATTTCACCTTTTTTAACTTAATGTTTGTTCTTACATTTTACTGTTCTATAAAACAGCTAAAAGCACTCAAATTGATTATATTTATGATTGTGAAGTTAAGCTGTTATATAGTGACAGTCTCAGGTGTGTCCAGAGCGAGCCCAGTAATATCACTGGTCCCTATTTTCATCCTATTTATTAACTTTTGCTGATTTTTCACAAAAGAAATTTAGGTGACAAATTTCTTCATGAATCCATGAAAAAGCAGTAGCCATTTTAGTTCATTAAGTAGTATGCATTTTATTGAGCTTTAGAATATCCCCGGCCTCAGAGCAGTTGCCCCCCCCCCCCACCTTCTCCCTCGTTAGCCCTTGTGACAAATTGTATACTCTAACAGTACTTAATGCTGATTATAAACATGTCCAATAGCAATGTCAGACAAGGTGTCATGTGAGTTGAACAAATATAGTGATACATCAGTAAAGTAAGAAAATAAGATATTAAAATATTATATTCTGGCTTGTCAATATCTATAATATATGCTTCTAATTGATTAAATAATCTGAAATACTTATAAATGGAAAGTCAGAGTGTCATCATAATGTGACTCAGGTGCTGATAAAGAATTGATTTGAATATTTCCTTTTGAAATTAAAAGATAAAACTTACATAATATAAACATTTGAATTATATATATATAATTACATTTTGATGTCAAGTTTATTAACATAGATTGATAATAAAGTAGAATTATTAAATATTTAAGGTAACTCTGCAAAACGTTTTTTATGTGCACTTTGACCCTCCTTTGTACAGTTAACAGTGTTGCTATAAGTTTTTATAAACTTTATGCTAGTTTGAAAGGATCTGTCTGTACTTTTCATGAATATGTTATTCTGAACAGTGTTTTTTAAACTTAATGATTATACAGGTTTTTGTCATTTTCTTAGATATTTTTATATTTAAGACAGCTGTCTTGTTTAAGAAAAAATAAAGGTTATACGAGGCCTGTGAGAAAAGTATCCGACCTTTGGCCGGGGAATAAAAACTGGCATACCTGGAGCGTTGGAAACCTAATCACCCTCAAAGTAGTCTCCTTGGGACTCCACACACTTCTCCCAGCGGTGCCACCATTGTTG